GTTGGGTCTTTCTCTGCTTTGGGGATCAAGGTGATGTTTGCTTCCAGAAATGATTTTGGGAGTATTGCTTCCCTTTCACTTTCGTTAAAAAGTTTAAACAGTAGTAGCAGTAGTTCCTCTCTAACTGTCTTATAGAATTCAGCAGTGAAGCCATCAGGACCTGGGCTTTTCTTAGTTGCTAAGTTTTTAATTACGTCTCCATTGGGCCAGGCAAATAAGATCCCATCCTTACTATAGGTATAAACTTTGCAGTTTTTCCCAGATTCCCTTGTAAATACTGTGCTTTCTGTAAAGTGTGCTGGGCCATTCACCATGTACAGTACTTCTGATCCTCGGAAGTCTGTAGAGGCTTCAGCCTATAGTTGACTGGCTCCAAGGCAGGGTAGCATGGCAGAGATACATGGCAAAAGAGAAACAGTCCATGGCAAGGCAAGCAGGATGCAGCCCAAAACTTTCTTTTCTTTTTAGTACTGGGGATCGAACTCCGGTCCTTGCGCTTGCAAGGCAGGCGGCGTAAAACTTTCTTTTCAATGAACAAAGAGAAACTAGTAGTATAATTGAAACAAATCAGCATATATTTTAAAATATTTTTGAAACAACAGAATAGACCAAGAGGAAAGAATCTAAGAATTGGTTCACCAGGAGGCCCTGTGTCCACTGGGTCCACACAGGGAGAGGGGTTTGGTGTTGGTGAATGGGCTGAATTCTAGCCGGCTTCTGGAGGCAGCAGTGCCATTTTATAGTTCATCCACCCAGAGGGAGTGATGTTTCTAGTTTGCACAAAGGAGTCTTAGAATGCTAGTTACACTTCCCTGTTCACAGGTTTAGGTGTTGTGCCAGTGCCCAGTCTGACCCGTTGGTGGGGAATGCCTTATTCCTGTGTGGTGTAAGATGTCTCTGGGTGCTGGAGAGAGAAGCCAAGGCATGCGTTTGCTGACTCTGAAGCGTGAATGTTTTAATGGCTTAAAATGTAGATGTGATTTTTGTTATTTATTTTTCAGCATTTGAAAGTGCAGGTTCAAGCTTCAATCTGAGTCCCAATCGAGCATTTTGTTTATCAGTTTTATGCCTTTGGGCAGCAGTCTTAATTTCTCTAAATATTCATTCTTCATTTTTGTTTTTTTTTTTATGGGGGATCAAACTCAGGACCTTGCGCTTGCCAGGCAGGCGTGGTGCCACTGAGCTACATCCTTGGCTCCCATTCTTCATTTTTAAATGGAGGTAATGATACTTTGTGTCTCACAGAATCATTGTAATAATTAAATGAGTAAGTGTAGTCCACATATAAGCATCATACTGAACATGACAGGTATTCAACCTGTGTCAGCTTTCCTTGTTATAGTCACATAGTACATGGGCTATCTTTTATTGTCATAATGTCTACCCATTCAGTTTCAGTTCCTCTTGATCTGCTTGGTTTTTGTTTGAGACAGTCTTATTAGTTTGGGTTGACCTTAAACTTGCTATGTACCCCATACTGGCCTTGAACTTCTAATCCTTCTGTCTTAGCCTCCCAAATGCCGGAATTACATGCATGCATCACTATATCAGCTTCATTTTCTCTTATCCATTGAATTGTTTGCATTGTCGCCTTTCTTCTGGATTGTTGCAATGACTTCCTGTGCTTTCTCTCCACTCCCAGTTGAGAAAGATCCTATAGATGGCTGTGACTTTCTGAGTAAGGTGGATGTATTAGTTACTTTTCTCTTGTTGCTGACATAAAATACCCGACACCCAAATTTAGAGGGGAAAGGGTTTATTTGGCTTACTGTTTGTGGAGGTTTCAGTCCATATTTGACTGGCTCCAAGGCAGGATGGCAGAGGGGCAACAACAGTTCATGGCAGGGGAAGACAGCAAAAGCAACAAGAGAACCTTAACAGTGTCTTTCTGTGCTTTTTATCTTATCCAGACTACTGGGTTTGGGTGGTGACAAACCAGTCAGTCATGTGTAGTGGTTTAGTAATCACAGGCCCTTAATCCTAGCATCACACACTCTAGATTCAGCCACCTTCAAAATAGCACCACCTCATTCCCATGAGGCTTTGGGGGGGACATCTAAACACAAGCCATAACAGTGGATATAATAAAAAACTGTCTGTCGAAATTAAGGACAAGCCAGGTGTGGTGATGCACACCTGTAATCCCAGTGCTCAGCGCTCAGGAAACTGAGGCAGGAAGATTGTCACAAGTTGAGGCCAACCTGAACTACACAGTGAGACCCTATCTCAAAGTAAATAAATAATAAACAAAAAGGAAATGAAGGAGGACAGAAGTAGGTCTGGGGACTAGAACATCCCTTGTTTCATCAGAAAACATGAATTTGAATCAGGTTCCTTCACTATCATTTTAGATTTTTTTTTATAATAGTGTTCTATAACCAGAATGAGGAGTAGAGAAAGTAGATGGAAGTTTGTGAGTGTGTGGACAGGAAAGAGGACAAGGACTTGAGGAGCGTCAGATGGCGATGGCTGGCCACCACTTCTGGGACCTGAAGCCAGGCAGTTAGCCTACACTGGGGATAGCAGGGTGAGAACACAGGGAGAGAAAAAGACAAGGGAAGATGAAGAGTAGGCTCACTTTCAAGGGGAGAATGGATAAAAAGGGTGTTATATTCATACACAGAAGACGAAAGATTGAATGAACTTGAGCTAATGCTAAGCAGGAATAGCAAGTTGCAGAAGAATACTACTTACATAAGATTTACAAAAACATGTAAAGCAATTCTAATTATTTCCAATCTTTGCTGGAACCCCTACTTGTCACTGTTTTAGTCAACATTCTGACAAGTTTTATTTCTCTTTGCTTCCAACTCATGACAGATTAGAAAGAGCAAATTAAATTACCTTGTTGGTAAAAAATGACCCATTATTGAAGTTGGAAGAGACACAGAACTACTAGATTTGACACAAACAAGGATAAAATGACATAATTTAGTTAAAATTAGTGTAGGATAAGCAGTCTTATAGCTAAACAGCAATATTAAGGCAACATTTGATAGCTGATGTTCATGATTAAGACCTTTTTCACCATTAAAGGTCAATTTAAAATTTTTGTTTGTTTGCAGCACTGTGAATTAAACCCAGGGCCTCATGCATGCTAGGCAAGTTCTCAGTCATGGAGGTACATCCCCAGTCCATTTTAAATTTTTCTTTTATTTTCAGATAGGGTCTTACTAAGGTTGCCCAGGCTGACCTTGAACTTGTAATCCTTTTGTCTAAGCCTGGTTGTCACTTTAAATTTTATTTGGCACTGGTTATGTGATTATTTTAAGATTTTCATGAAAATGGTTATCTCTTTTTAAAAAAAATACTGGGAAAAGAAATGTTTCATTGTCCTTGGACTACTTTCTTATGTGGAGTACTTCATATTTGTTGGAGTAAAGAATTATTATAGTGAAAAATAGAGGTGATAGCTTGTAAGCCAAATGACAACATAATGTAGCTAGCATGTACAAGGAAGGCCCTGGGTTTGAGCCCTTGCACCATAAAATAATACAGAATAACAACTGGATGATTGTTGCTTATAACACACTTTTTTTTAAAACAGATTGTTTAACAAACAACAGTGAAGAATTATCAAACACTACAGTATCTTTCCTCAACCTGTTTAATCAAACCTTGACCTGCTTTGAGAGTAATCTTCAGGTATTTTAAATATATTTGAAATGAAAATGCTATTTTGTACAAATGTATAATGTATTTCTGAGTTTTTATAGCATTAATTGATGGTATTTGTGCACACTTGTGATGTAGTGGAATTAGTACACCTGTATTTCTTTTGAGTTCTTCTAGTTATAAATCATTAAAACTTCAGTTCTCTCACTTAAAAGTAGGGATAGTAATGTCTACCCTGCCTTCATTACTTTGTAGTGAATATCTGATAAGATAATGAATGTGGAAACATTAACTGAGACATGCAGTTATTTAATTAAAACACAGTGATGTACCTGGACTTTGTTTATGTAATAAAGTATTTTGCAGTGCAGTATGATTCTGTCTATGGGAAGCTTACTCTTTGGCTCAATATTTTAAAAATATATTTCATGTACTTTAAAAGGCACTGTTTAGTAAGATAACTTTGAGTATTGAATTATGATATTAGGGTAGTCTTTAAGAATCCTCCTTACAGATTTTTGTTGTCTCCATCTCTGATCTTTGAATTTTGGCATTGGAACTTAATGGGAAATTTTTGGTTTTAGACTAGTGTTTTAAGAGATGTATTTGAAGGAAATTAGCACTTTCAATGTGATGTTAGTTGCACAATTGTTCCTAGTTTTTTATTGTTTTTCTTTTGTCAAGAAAAAATTTTAATTTTAATTAGATTCATCCATTTCTTAAATGGCCTGGGGTATTTGTGACACATTAAAAAGGCTTTTTCCACACAGTGATTATTTTAAAATTTGTTTTAGTACTTCTGTAGCTCCACTTTTTGCATTTAAACTTTTTTTTTTTTTTTTTGAGACAGGGTTTTGCTATATAGTCAGGCTGGGCTTAAACTCATTATGTAGCCCAGGCTAACCTCGAACTCACGGCAATCCTCTTGCCTCAGCCTCCCAAGTGCTGGGATTACAGGTGTGTACCACCATATCTGGCAATTTAAACATGTTTTTATCTTAAATTTTTTTTGTTTTTTGTTTTTTGTTTTTTTGGTACCGGGGGATCAAACTCGGGACCTTGTGCTTGCGAGGCAGGTGGCAGAATCACTGAGCTAAATCCCTGGCCCCCTTATCTTAAAAATTTTAAGAAATATATTTGTTGTTGTTGTTTTTGGTGCCAGGACTGAACTTAGGACCTTGTGCTTGTGAAGCAGGCAGTGGCACCACTGAGCTAAATCCCCAGCCCTAAGAAATACATTTGAATCTGTAGTTCTCTTTCAGTTTATAAGATTAAAGAGTATCTACTTATTCTTTCCTAAATCAAGATAGAATTCCATACTCATAATTAATTGAAATAATCTGAAACCTCAAATCTAGATTTTTGTTAAATTAGGAGTATTATATCTAATTTATAAATTCTTTCTAAAAAATATTTTGTTTTTTTTTTGGTACCAGGGATCAAACTTGGGTCCTTGCGCTTGCGGAGCAGGCAGCAGAACCACTGAGCTAAATCCCAGGCCCTCTAAAAATTTTTTTTCTTTTTTTCTTTCTTTTCTTTCTTTCTTTCTTTCTTTCTTTCTTTTTTTTTTTTTTTTGCAGAGCTAGGAATTGAACCCAGGGCCTGCTGCATACTAGGCAAGCACTTTACCATTGAGTTAATGTCTTTTCTCCATGCCACATGGTAAAGAAGAAAGTAAACAAAAAGCAAAGTTATAATCTTGTTCTTAAAAAGACAGGTGTCAATCTAAAAGTATAAAAAAATTGAGATTGCTAACTTACTAATTTATATGATAACTCTACCCATTTGTAGGCTATCCAATTCTTTTTAGTATTTGTCCCTTTTTGTTGACTAGAAAGGCCTGGATTCTGAGCCTTGTGACAAGAGAATTTCATGGGGGCACAGTTTTGGTGCCTTTTCTCTTCCCATTATAAAAGTCCTGCCTCAGTCAGAGTAATTTTGATGAAGTCAGCACTGGCAGGGGCATATTTTATTTATTCAGCGAGAATAGGATAGAGAAGTGCAGATAAGTAATGATGAGATAACAAGATATTTGGTATTTTCATATTGGTGGTTTGGCACATAAGCTAGTATTATCTTCATTTAACAATGGCTGGTACAGTGGTTTTCAAAATTTCAGGACACCTTAGAAAGTGCCAAATATTTTGCCATGTGCTTCACATACCAGGCCTCTAACCCTTAGCAACTATACCACAGGTATCTTGCCCAACATCACAGCTCAGCACATTAGCACCCCATATTGTCTCCTGTCCTGGGAGGGCAAATGTCAGTAGTTTACATTACAGAGATGTATATAGTGTTTATTCTTTGGATTACATCTGCCTTTATCATTTTAGGGGAGCACACACAGTCTTCTACCACCCAAAAATTACTCAGAGGTGTGCAGAAGCTGCCGTGAAAATTACAAAAATCTAAGTAATCTGTACAGTGAAATGCAAAAAATGAATGAACGTGAGAATAAGGCTGAACCTGGAACACATTTATGTATTGATGTGGAAGATGCAGTAAGTACTTTCCTGATGAGATGAATATTTTGCAGTATCATTGAATGTACCCTCAGTACTATCTCAGAGCTACATTGAAGTCTGCATATGTTGTCTTCACTCAGAAATAACTATAGTAGTTATAAAATAGTAAGGTTTTTAGAATATTCTGGTCTAGAAAATAAAATGAAAATTAATCAGGCACTTCATAAGATGTGGGCATTGTTATGTGTTTACATTTCAATTTCTTGTGCACTTGTTAAAGAAGTTTCTAGGTTTTACTATAATGTGTTTCAGAAGCTATTGTTCAGTAACTTCCTATGACATTATTTCTTTACATCTATTACAATCTGACAGTATTTATTCATTTATAGGATGTCTCCACTCACTAAAATATAAGCCACACGAGGACAAGGAGCTAATCTTTTTTGTTCATCATTCAGTATGTAGGATGTCTGGCATATAGTGAGTTTTTAATATATGTATTGATTGAATTGTCAAAAGCTTTTTTCTCTTTATAGCCGGCCTTTACATGGGTTACCACTAGATGGCGATCATGCCTTTTTAGGCCCTGATGCTCAGAATTGAGGGATTAGAGGAAACAAATTGGCTCAAAATAGAGAATTAGAAATCAAATTAATAAGATTATAAGTTGAGAATGATGAGTGTGAGTTATTATAGCAGCTCAGAGAAACTGTAGTGGGCCAGTAACATTCAGGATGGTAAAAAGCATTTAAAATAGCTATACCATGGACTTTTGTTTCTAGTGCTCTATTACTGTTGCCTAGAATAGTATTTAGTTTGTAGTAGGCTCTCAATAAATAAGTAATATTTAAGGAAGGAACTACATTCCTACTCGTGTAAGTTCTCTGTTTGAAAGGTATGAATGATTGACATTCTGGTATACTTTGGTCAGTATTTAAATATAAACAGTGACTAATTATTAATCAGTATATTTCCCTGGCAAAAGAAATTGTCCTTAACCTTCAGTATATTTAGTTTAAATTCTGAGTACCTGTTTGGACATTAACAAAATATTACAAGAAACTGAAGTCAAGTTAAATACAAAATAGAATAATACCATTTGTTCTTCCCAGATGAACATTACTCGAAAACTTTGGAGTCGAACTTTCAACTGTTGGGTCCCTTGCAGTGACACAGTGCCTGTAATTGCTGTTTCTGTGTTCATCCTCTTTCTCCCTGTTGTCTTCTACCTTAGTAGCTTTCTTCACTCAGAACAAAAGAAACGCAAACTCATTCTACGTAAGTGTTTTTTATAGTTATTCATTTGTTTAGATAACAGCCTGTATTTAAAAGATTTGAAGTATATTAGCCTAAAATGGCTCTCTGCTTTACATTTTACAATTATGCTTAATAATGGAAGAGATGTGTGATAATTTTGCAAGTATAGATAACTAAAAATCAAAGGACAGCATCTTTCAGATGATTAACTGAATTAGATTAATTCTAGATTTGCCCTAGAGTAAGTTTGGCAGCAGCAAAGGAGTAGTGATGGGGCATTGTGGTCCTGGCATGTCAGTAGTAGACAGAGATGAAGACAGCTCTTTCGGGAGTCACAATAGAACCACCTACAGTGCAGGTGACAGAAAATACTATAGCTAACGTGCCATTTGATTTTTTTCTGGAATAATTTTTTTTTTCTCAGTACTGGGAATTGAACGCAGGGCCTTCACACTGAGCTACATCCCCAGCCATTTTTATTTTTTTATTTTGAGACAGGGTTTGCTAAATTGCTAAGTTGTCCAGGCTGGGCTTGAACTTACAATCCTTCTGTCTCAGCCTCCTGAGTTCTGAGATTACAGATGTGTGTCATGGTGCCTGGCCAGATTAATTTTTTAAATGCAGACTTTACCATGTCCCTCTCCCACTTGGAACCCTTCATGTGTTCCTGTTGTACCTGGAACCAAGCTTTCTTCCAGAGTGCTCCCTCTAAGCACTCTAAGCTCCCTCTGAGCTGTACATGGTCCCATCTCCATCTGTTTTTCTGACTCATCACACCTCTTCCTATTTGTTCTACTGTGGGCATGGCTTTTTTTCTGTTTACTCCACTCCCTGTCCAAGGCCCTGCCCACTTTCCTAACCTGCTCCTGGTCATCTAGGCCTCAGCTTGAAGGTTTCTTGCTCAGAGATCTTTTAGCCTTCCCTCAATCCAAGAATATACCCTTTCCTTCATTCTTATGTATCTTTAATGGTGTTCAATCACTAAGCTAATGTAAGTTAAATAATTTCTTTCCATATGTATACCTTTCATTTTCTTTCTCTTGCTTGTGTTTCACTCACTGAATTGAGGCGTGATGTTGAATAAGACCAAGTATCCTTGTCTCATTCAAGATCTTAGGAGAAATGTTTTAGGTTTCATAATTAAGTGTAATGATTGCTGTAAAATCTTTGTAGATATCTTTTATGAGATTGAGGAAGTTTTCACTGAATTCTTTTAAGAAGAATTTGGATTAGAGTCTAGCTTAGACTTTTAAATACATATTTTTTTGTCTTTTTCTCCCCCCCCCACCTTTTTTCTGGTTCCAGGGATCAAACCCAGAGCCTAGCACTAAATATGTAATTTTATTATTATGCTTTATAGCACTTATATTTTCTAAGTAATTTACTTTCACCTATATTACATATTTAAGATTGTGATGTTTAAGAAGATGCTTAAACATCACAACGATGCTATGTTTTATGTATGATGCATATTTTATTTGTACTGCTTATAACAAAATAATTGCATAGTTTCAAAGTGATTTTTTTTGGGGGGTGGGGGAAAGCTTAGGTTTTATCTCTTAGAAGACTGGATCTATTCAAACCAGGTGTGGTGGCACCTGCCTGTAATCCTAGCACTCGGGAGGCTGAGGCAAGGAAGATTGTAAGTTCAAGGCCAGCTGTATTATATAGTGAGTTCAAGGCCAACCTGTACTACAAAGCTAGACTATCTCAAAAAAGAAAAACAGAAAAAAGATTGGATCTATTCAGACAAATACTATAGTTTTCATAGGGATAATAAATAATGTTGGTTAGAGAATTAAATTTAAAATGTAATACTTTTGTTTTATCTAGCCAAACGTCTAAAGTCTAGTACCAGTTTTGCAAACATTCAAGAAAATTCAAAGTGAAACCTACAAAATGGAGACTCAACATCATATCACATGGCTAAGTTGTAGAAGACACAACTTGGTCAGAAAGAAGAAAACTGATCTGACAAGTCAAGTTCTTAAGAAATGGAAGGAATTGCTTATTTTTCAATAATTTTTAACTTTTCTTTATCTTTCCACCCCCTCTTTAAGGAATTGGGTTTATTAATTTCCAAACATAGTTGTCTATTTTTTGTTACAATAACAAAAGATATACGAAAAACCTTGATTTTGTCGACATATTATTACTACTTGAGACTTTTTTTATCTCCTTATTAATGTAAGTACCTCAAGTAGAAAAGTTTTTGAAGACTAACATTTAAAACTTAATGTTATACAGAGAGCCAAAGAGCCTTGGTGGCCTTTCTAATGGAGGTCCCGAGATTTCCTGCCCACGTGGCCAGTTTGTTAGGGCCATGAGGAAAACACAAACGGAATTTGGCAATCACAGTAATTCATTATGAGAAGCCCTCCTTTTGCTGTCACCCCCAATCTCATCATTTATCCAAACCACCAACACTGCCTTACCACCTACATAGTATGATTTAGCCTCTTGCCTTGGGGCATGATCTGCACCTACCCCTTATAATTATTGGAATTCAGAAAATATGCTTTAGGAAAATTATGTGATTTTAGGCACTAATTCCTAATAAGTATTTCATTCAATCAAGTAAAGTAACTTTTATTGCCACAGTGGAACCAAACAGTATTTCCTTGGTAGAGCAGGATGCAGTTATATGCACTTATGGACGTGTATATACAATGTCACATTGTTCAATATACCCTGTGCCTCTGTTGTGCTAAAATTTAAACTATTTCTTTAACTCCATGCTACTATCATTTAATCACAACAGCAGCACAATGACATAGGTAAAGAAACTGGAGCTTACAAGTGGCTGTACCTGCCCAGGTCGCGTAGCTACTGAGACAGCTGGCATCTGCATCTAAACTGTGGTGCCAAGGTCACATTCCTAACACTGTAAACCCTCCTGCCTCTTGTAAAATAGGTCCCAGGATAACTGCTATAGATGACCATACAAGTTCCATTACTCATCTTAAATATAACAATCTGGCATGTCTTTGGTAAAGAAATTGATGAGTACTCTTCGCCCTGTGTTACCCCTTCTCATTCCAATAAATGGTATCATAGGGCAAGGAGGCAACTTACACAGAAGAGAGATCCCACTCTGATGGATTATTTTTCCTTTCAGAAAGGCTTGGCTTCTTCGTCCTTTCGACTATTTCTTCTCCAGGTGATTCTGAGTCATCTTTAGTTCTGCAAGTAATAAGCATTGTTTTTGGATATTTTTAACCAATGATAATGTGCTATAATTATTTGGTGAGTTTTACTGTATCATTCAAGAGGTTCAGGAATATCTGTTTTGCTATCTAAGACTCAAAGTTCTATCACCAATTTTATAAGAATTTAAAAATATTTATGTAGAAAGTTAGAATATTAACCAAATACACAAAAGGGGAAATTTACAAAGAACATATAAAAATTAGTCTCACCACTCATAATTAACCAATGTCATTACTGGCATTTAACACATATATGCATGTATTTAACTGTACATTAAAAATATGGATACATTTCTTCATCTTTGTACTTTATTTGAAATATAGTAAATTTTTTCTCATTGTTAAATATTCTACCACATTGTTTTTGGTATTCTATTTAACTCTGGTCTCTAAAATTTTTGATTAGTGTTAATTTGGGATAAAAATTAAAGTGTCATTTCTGTTTCTCTAAAAAAAAAAACACTTAATGTTATAACAAAGTCTTTGAAAAAGAAATATACTTGCTAAAAGGTAGCAAAGGTGTACTCTTTTTAAAATGAATCCAAAGATTCATTTAAATCACTCCCTGTTGTAGTATTACTATTACGGATATATTTAATATGTCATATATATGATAATATATAACTCAATGTGTAGTTTCCTTAATGTTTTTGAAACCACTGATTATAAACATCCTTAACAATTTTTAGAAGTGGTAAGCCACATTACATTTATCTTTGTAAAAAGATTTATGGTAACTGGTTTCTTACTTGACTTTTGTAAATAGTATGTTACATCTTATCTTTGCCTTTATTTCATAAGCAATTTGAACTCACTGGACTGCTTTGTCATATTTAGGGCAAGATAGATTCTTTTTATACCAGGGATTTGCATTGTGAATTATATTAAATTATTTGGCAATTTATAATTTATTATTACTTTAAATCAAATGTAATATTATCAAACTGTATTTAAATTGTGGTTTTTTAATGAAAAATTACTCTTGGGATCCATGGGGATTTTTGGAGAGGGGAGAAAGGAGGAATAAACAAGTTTAAGGTTCAGAAAATGGGGCTATGAGGGGCTGCTCAATAGCAGACAGTTGAATGGTTTGTGTTAGAGGCCTGCATCAGATGATAGGCACACAGCAGCAGTAGTTAGATTAAGGTGATGCTTAGTTTTTCTCAGTTCTGTAAATCAGATAAAATCCATGTGACTGAAATGAAGTCACATCCTCACTCTCAGAAAACCAGTTCTATTTTGGAATACATGTATCAGCCTTTAAAACTATGCTTTGCTTTAGAATTGTTCACAATTTTATTTCTCAGGGTTTTAGAGTTGAGGATTTCATTTCATTCCTTTTTGCTTTCTTGGTAGAAATAGGCTTTGTTTTAAATGTTGAGAATATGAAGGCTCCTCTGTATAGTTTGGTTAAATAGTAAGAGAATTTAAAAAAAAAATAGTAAGAATTTGAGTCTCTTCATAGACTGTAAAGTGTTCTTTAGAGGTACTGGAGGATGTTTTTATGTTTACTGTGTGCATGGAGAAGGCTTACCCTTGGGTATATGACATATCCAAAGCTGTTACAGTTTCTCTGATCTGCTGTGATCCATTTAAAATGTGCTGCAGTTTGTTCTGTTGATACTGTTCCTGCTGCTAGTACTAACAGCGCTGTCTGGATTTGACACATGTGGTTGAGGATCATTGAAAGCAATCTTCATTAATGCAGATAAAATGAGTTTACACATGAAAAGTTAGAAAGATGATATGTTTGAGTCAGAAAGTAGTGACTTGAGCACCTTTTAGTATTATGTTTGTAAAAACCATTGCTTTTGAATATAAAACTAATAAGCACTTTAAAAAGGAAAAGACAGCCTTTATTGCTTTTCTGGTGGGGTCATTGCTTTTTAGTAGTTACATCAGCAGTAATAGATTTCAAAAATAAGTATTAAATGCTGCACTAAAGTTCATAAATACTTCATTTTATAGTCCTATCAAAAAATTCTTTGCATAGTTCTGAATTCTGAGACACATCATGTCTGTGTATGCACAAGAATATCTTTAAATTTTTTGACACTTTAAAATAAAGGAACTTAAAGAAATTGGAATGATGTATGGATTGATTTTTATTTACTTTTTGAAAACTTCGAATGTAACATCACATCTCAGTTTTTCAAATATTGAGTTCAAATGTTCATCTCAAGATTTTACTGCAAATAAAATGTACTTTTGGATTATCTTTTGTTGGATTTGAGAAATAAACATAACATCAGATATTTTAAAGTGTAACTCTTTAAATCAGTGAATAACACCAGAGTTTAGTTGGTAAATATTACTTCTATTGGGACCGGTATTTTCTGATTTTTTTTCCTGATGTTTCATGGATGGAATGACTGTACTTTTTACTGTAAAATACTCCTTATGAAGTGAAATGTTTTCAGGTAATGATGTTGTAGTTAGGCTTATATTCATGTCAAAGACTAGACCTCTGTAGCAATGGCTTTTGAGAACAAAATTACTATTGAACTATGTAACAATTTTAAATGAGAAGAACTGTGTTCCAACTACCTGTATTTCCTGAACTAGAAGAAACCTTCGAGATCATCTGGTCACAGAACCCTGGAGCTAGGTGGATCCCTAGAGACCACCTGATCCAAATGGATGCTTCTACAAACCTCAAGTGTCAGAAAATAGAGCTGCAAGGTGCTGCTCATTTGCAGGCAGTTGAATGGTTCATGTTGAAGGCATGAATCAGATAATATCCACACAGTAAGCAGTTAGATTAAGGTGATGCTCAGTTCTCCTCTATTTTCTTAACTGGAGAAACAGAACGTCTTTATAATAGCCATTTTTTGATAGTCAACTCCAAAATTGAGACTTGAGATGCCTATTTGAATGGGTTTTTGTTGTTGTTATTGTTGTTGTTGTTGGAGACTGGGTCTCACTATGTAGTTCAACTCATTATGGCACCCAGGCTGGCCTTGAACTTGTGGCAGTCCTCCCACCTGAGCCTCCTGAGTGCTGGGATTATAGGTGTGTACCACCATGCCTGGCTTCAAATTGTTTTTCTGCGGTACCTTGTGGTGTCTTGGCATGCTTTGCCACTATTCATTCAGGTCTAGTCTTTGCTCCAACCCAGTATCTCAATTAGAAGTACCATGAAATAGGTGTGGTTCAGTCAAACAGCACCTAAAAATAACCATCACAGGATTCTTGGAGTCAAAACGTGTTATTTGTGAAGAAAGAAGTCCAAGTAACATTGGAAATTAGGATTCATGTTGAAATAATTAAGGTACTACTGAAAGAAAAGTAAAAGGTGTAATTACCAGATGAAACGAAGAGGGAATTATCTGCGTAACACAATCAAGAAAAGGACATGATAACATAGAACACACAGGACAAATGGTGAGATGGTAGATTTAAACCCAAATATCAGTAAATAGTAAAAAGAGGGAGGGAGTGAAGGAGTTAAGCCTGTATCTTCTTGATACCAGACTTGATGGACATGGCACAAAAAGGAAAGTGAATAAATTTGACCTAAAAATATGGAGGCAAGCTGGGCATGGTGGCCCAGGCCTATAATCCCATCACTCGGGAGCTGAAGCAGGAGGATTGGTGTGAGTTTGAGGCCACCATAGGCTGTTAGTGAGTTCGAGGCAGACCCTGTCTTAAAAAAACAAAAAAAATTTTGATCCCCGGTACCAAAAAACCCCAAAAAAACAAAAAACAACAAAAAAGAAAATATAAAAATTCCAAATACAATATTTGTGAACTCATTTCATCAGTGTGCTAAAAGAATAGCATACCTTGAACAAGTTAGAGTACATTCTAGGAATTAAGAGTACTAATAAATTTGTGTAGTTGAGGTATCCTTTAGTTACATAGCCATCAGGTGTCATTTGTCCCTTTAAGACTCTATAAACCTTGTTGGAGCCCTGATTTTGCACAGCCATAGGATTGTGACCCTTGAGGATAAATAGAATTTCTGCAAATCTGACCTTGTACTTTGCCACTTGAGTTGTCATCTAGAAAGCTATCTACTCTCTAGAGGTTACTTTTCATTATAGCTACTTCCCTAGAATGCTGCTGCAGAAATTATAAAGAAAAAACTCATAGATTTGTCTATGTAAAAATAAAATAGTTCCATCATCTTTTAAACATTTTTTTTTTTTGTACTGGGGATCAAACTCAGGTCCTTGCACTTATGCAGCAGGCAGCAAAACCACTGAGCTAAATCCCCGGCCTTCCATCATCTTTTAAAAATGAGTAACCAAAGAGGCAGCTAGATATTTTGTGCCTCCTGAAGTGCACACTAAAAAATGAATAATCAGTTGGGAGAAGTAATATGCAACATACATGACAAAGAATTCATCTTAATCTACAGTGTGCTTTAAATTAATGAGATAATTTTAATTTATAAAATTTAAGGAATAAAATTAATTAGAAGTAAATTAGTCTCAGAAAAATCAGCAAAGGAAAAGACAGAATTCTAAAAGTTAGTGGCGATATGAATAGGTATTCAATAAACTATTAATGAGCCACACAATTAGAAAATTCATAGCTACATGATGAAACTATATTCTTTTGAATGGGTTGGCAGATATTAAGAGGAATGGTAATATCTGGTGTTGAGAATAATCACTTCTGTAATAGTGCAAATGAATACAAATTTTTCAGAAGGGATTTTCTTTGGGGGGGAGGGGTACTGGAGATTGCACCTGTGGCCCTCACACTGTGGCCCTCCTTTTTGTTGTTGTTGTTGTTATTATTATTATTAATTTTGATAGAGTCTTCATAAGTAGCTAAGTTGCCTAAGCTCGGCCTGAAGTCCTTCTGTCTTAGTCTCTCAGAGTGCAGAGAGGAAATTTTCTTTACTATTTCCTTAAGCTTAGTTCCTGAAAGCAGACTGACAGTCAAATGGGCATTGGCAAAAGCTTTTGTTGCTCTTAAGTTGGGTTGAAGGTACATTCTCTCTTGTTGCTGTTTGTTTTGTTTTATTCCAGTACTGGGGCTCAAATCCAGGGCCTTATCATTGAGTTACATTGCCAGCCCTTTTTAAGGGACTAAGTTTGCTAGTCTTGCTAAATCACTAAGTTTCCCAGACTGGATTTGAACTTTTGATCCTCCTGCATCAGCCTGTTAGAGTGCTGGGATTACAGGCATTTTCCACCATGTCCTGCTGACGGTACATTCTGACTCAGATCTAGTTCTACTCCTCCCGTGATCCCTTGATGTCTTTTTAGATCTTTTTTTTTTTGGTACTAGGGATTGAACTTGGATCCTTGCGCTTGCGAGGCAGGTGGCGGAACCACTGAGGTAAATCTCCGGCCCCCCTTGATGTCTTTTTTTTTTTTTTTGGTACCGGAAATTGAACTTGGGTCCTTGCGCTTGCGCAGCAGGCGGTGAAACCACTGAGCTAAATCCCCCGGACCCCTTGATGTCTTTTATGATTCTACTTCTGTCCTTAACCTTTCTCTCTCTTTTTTTTGTACTGGAGATGGAACTCAAAACCTTGTGCTTGCAAGGCAGGCACAGTGCCACTGAGCTAAATCCCCGGCCCTCTTTTCTTTTCTTTTTTCGTGTCTTACCTTTCCTTTCCTTTTTCTTTTCTTTCCTTTCCTTTTCCTTTTCCTTCCTTGTTCCTCCCTTCTTCCTTCCTAGTGCAGAGGAACTGGGGATTGAACCTGGGGCCATCACTCTGAACTACATACCAGGCTGTTTTAATTTTTATTTTGAGATGAAGTCTTGCTAAGTCACTAAATTGCCCAGGTTGGGATTGAACATTCTATCCTCCTGACTCAGCCTCCCACAGTGCTGGGATTATAGGTATGCACCATCACCCCTGGTTTCTCCTTTGTCATTTACACCAGTAGTTCAATGGTCTTGAAGTCCAGAATACTATTTCTTGTTTGTTTTTTTGTTTTTGGTACTGGGGATCAAACTTGGGACCTTGCGCTTGCGTGGCAGGCACTGGAACCGCTGAGCTAAATCCCTGTTCCTGGAAAACTATTTCTTTGAAAACATGACAAAATATATTCCTGAGCTACGTTGTGTTATGTTGTAAGGTATCCCCGTAGCAGGCTTATATAAAGGGATGTTTCAGCCTTGAAGAAAAGTCCTTCAGCAGTATGAAGAGTACACAGTAAGGGGTAAAAAGACAGCTACTTCGTGGAAAGTGAGACACGCTATCTCACATTCAGCTCCAGGTAAGCCCCACAGGTTCCAGGCTGGAGCCAGTGCCAGGCTCATGGACTGCTACCCTAACACTAGCACCCCAGATCATGAATGCTAGTGTTAGATCAGGCTTGAAAAGTACCAACTTAAAGCAGATAGTTGAAAAACACTACCATTTTGCCCATAACTGGTTTAATTCCTCTTTCCTCTTCAGTAATCCCACACATTACCTACTTATTTGCTGTAATGAACATGCCATTCAGCTGAAATAAGATTAACTGCTTAAACCGAGGCATTACAGGGAGAGAACTTTAATGCCGCTTTGTGTTCCACTGGAAGGTCTAGCAGTTAAACGATATGGTGTTGTCGTTTCTTCCTTTGTAATCAAGATAGTTTCACTTAGGATTAGGCTCCCCAGCCGATTCTCCTGATGGAATAGTTGAAGCAGCAAATTCATGTGTCTGGGTTACAGCCTGGCAGCATAACAACGCTCGGCATCCAACCTGTTGGCCTCATCAGCACTCCAATTGCGCTGCTTTGTGAAGCCCCCTCTGCTCGAACGGTGATGGAAATCACACCTGCTGTCAGACTATGGCAGGAAAATGGAAAAGGGGCTCAGGCATGCATCTGGAAAATAGCACTATGATGCCCCAGATGGGAGCAGGGTCCAGAAAATTAACCCACGTTCCCCAGAGCGAGCGAACATTTGCCTGTTCTCTGCGTCAAGGTCAAATCCTGCTTCTTCAGTGGAGCTTTTTGGACTGTCCCAGCCTCACTCATCTCTCTTTTCTTCAAGCACTAATTATAATTATACTTCTCCGTACATTACTTAAGGCTGATTATTTGTTGATTTGTGTGATTTATATCATTGTTCTGTATGAGCTAATGCTGTCTCTCCAGTTAGCCTGCAAGCTCTCAAAAGTCATGGACCGAC